GCTTGAGGGAGGGAGGAGGGGATGAAGCGAGGTGGGGACACAGCCCGGAGCTCACCCTCTCCTGTCCTGCAGGAGGTGGACATCTACACCGTCAAGGTGGAAGACCTGACGTTCACCTCCCCATTCTGCCTGCAAGTGAAGCGGAATGACTATGTGCACGCCCTGGTGGCCTACTTCAACATCGAGTTCACGCGCTGCCACAAGAGGACGGGCTTCTCCACCAGTGAGGCGGGGCCCGCAGGGCTGGGGGCTGTTCCTGAGCCAGGGCCGAGGGGCACCCACATAGTGGAGGGGGTGACAGAAACGGGCAGAGGGAGCCATGGGGACATGTGTGTTCCAGCGTGAGCTCTGCCATGTAGCAGTCACGTGGCCTTGGGCAAGTGACCTGAGTGTGCAGTGCCTCAGTTTCCTCATCCACAAAAGCCTGACACGGTCCCTGTCTCCAAAGCTGAATGACAGGGAGGTGACTCACGGACAGCAGTCCCGTCAGCTGTCAGGGGGGTGGGCATTCCAACAGAGGGAACACAAGACTGGGGCCAGGGCAGCAGGCCAAGGCCAGCTGACCCGCCTGCGCCCCCAGGCCCTGAGTCCCCGTACACGCACTGGAAGCAGACAGTGTTCTACATGGAGGACTACCTGACCGTGAAGACGGGCGAGGAGATCTTCGGCACCATCGGCATGCGGCCCAATGCCAAGAACAACGTGAGGCTCTGGGCAGCTGGGCAGGAGGGCGGCAGCCGGGGTGGGGAGCATGGATGGGGCAGTGGTGGGGGGGAATGGTGGCAGCGTAGGGGATGGGGGTAGCTGGGGCGAGTGCCTCTGCCTGTTCCCGGGTCCCTGAGCCCCTCAGCCCCACGCCTGTCTACACAGCAGATTTCTTAGCATTTACTGGAAGATGGGCCTGGGGACCCAGGCCAAAGCCCTGTCCTCCTGGTGCTTCCAGTCTACACAAGGGGATCAGTGACATGGTGATGCCAGTGGGAGGTGACCTCTGTCAGGCTGGGAGCAGGGCAGACAGGTGTTGGCGTGGGTGAGCTCCAGGGCAAGAGGCGGCCCCGGTAGAGCGCACAGGGTTTGCTAGCCCAGGTGGGAGGCATGAGAGGAGGAGAAAGGCAGCTTTTTGTTTTCCACTCCCCCTTTTTCCTCCTGAGCACCTGGTAGGAGCTGCCATCACCTGAGATCAGGGGGTTTCCAGGGGAGCTGGGGGGGCTTCTGGGAGAGAGGGTCTGGGCAGAGAGGTCCAGTGTGGCCGGTTTGAGCAGGCAGGAGGATGGAAGGCCGGGAGCCTGGAGTCACCGGGAGTGGTGTGGGCTGGAAGAGTGGGTCCCGGCCCATGGGTGCGAGGGTGGGTGGCACTCAGGGCAGTCATGGAATGTGGGCCCCGGGACGCCCTCGAGCCCGTGACAGCAGCAGTTGTCAGCTGGGCAGTTTCAGTGCCCCCCACCCCCGACAGAGGACGTTGGTCACCATCTGTGGAAACATTTGTGGTTGTCACTCTGGAGAAGGGGTGCTCCTGGCATCTGGTATGTAGGGGCCAGGGGCTGGTAAACGTCCTACAACCACAGGACCACCCCCTGCAAAGACCCCTGTAGCCCCTGGGGCCATGGCGCTAGCTGGGAAACAGATACTGGAGAGGGAGGAGGAGTCCTCGGGGCTGTTGGCAACTTGATCCCCTCTTCATGTGCTGGAGGGTGTGGGGGGTCTTCAGGAAGCCTGGGAGGAGAAGTGGAGACAGAGGCTGGACCACTGCGTTTCCCTGGAACGTTTGCCCGAGCAGAAGTGGGCTTGGGAGAGGTTCTGTTTTATGAAAGAAGCAATCACTGCGTTGCTGATGGGGAACGTCTTGATGGAGAAATCCAAGGGCAAGGGATAGCAGCCAGGCTCTGCTCCTGAGTGAACCTAGTGGGCTTGAGGGTGTCCACGTGGCGCTGTCCCTTGACAGAGTCAGGGCAGCTGCTAGGGTGGGACCAGCAGTTGGGGTCTGCAGTGTGGAGATGGGCAGGAAGCTGGAGCCCAGCGCATGGCCTGCCTGCACCCCCCTGCCGCCACCTCCTGGTGGGTTCCGCCCTCATGCCCGCCCTCTCCCCACAGCGGGACCTGGACTTCACCATCGACCTGGACTTCAAGGGCCAGCTGTGCGAGCTGTCCTGCTCCACTGACTACCGGATGCGCTGAGGCCCAGCTCTCCCGCCCTGCACGGGCCCAGGGGCTGAGCGTTCCTGGGCGGTTTCGGGGCTCCCCCTTCCTCTCCCTTCTTCCCACAGAAGGGGGTTTTAGGGGCCTGGGCTGGGGGGATGGGGAGGGCACATCGTGACTGTGTTTTTCATAACTTATGTTTTTATATGGTTGCATTTACGCCAATAAATCCTCAGCTGGGGTCTGGTTCCATTTCCTGGGGGCAAAGGAGGTTTGGGGTTCCCTTCGCAGGTGCTGAGGTGCCAGCCTGAGCAGTGGGGGGACCGGCCTTGGAGCCTGCTGGTGGCTGCCATTCCGTGGATCTGCATCTCCCCTCCCCTGTCGCTAGGCCTCTGGCTCCCCTTCCTTAGCTCCTTCTCAGGCTGCCTCCCCTCCACAGCTCTCTCTCAGGGTCTCTCCTCTCCTCGGCTGTCTCAGGCTGCCTCCCCTCCACAGCTGTCTCTCAGGGTCTTTGTCCCACTCTTCATCCCCTCTGGGTCTGCGCCCCTCCCCTCTGTGGTGCCCCTGTGTCCTCCTGCCTGGTGGGGGATGGGGTTGGCGTTCCAGCACAGCCAGCCCTCAAGTTTCCCAGAACAGTCTCCCCACCTTCCCCCAACACTCACATTGTACCTCTGGCTGTTTTTTCCTGTTTGGGTCCCTCCAAGGCCCAACTGTGCCCAGCCCTCTGCAGCCGGGGACACTGAGTGGGTTGGGGGTGTATGTTGGGGAGGATAGAATTTCTTGTGGGGGTGTGGCCCTGCTTCCTCCCCTAGCATGGCTTGGGGCTTAGGGCTGGGGACTTGCCCTCCATGGAGGTCAGTGGGAGTTGCAGCTCAAAGGTGGCAGGGCCTACCCATCTTACAGAGGCGAAGACGAGGCCCCTCTGCCTCTGCTGCAGCCATGGAGTCTGCACCCACCCTTCCACCCTCAGAGCCTGGCCATGGGGTCCTGGGTCCCCACAACACTACACTGGACCTCCACATTGACACAGCCCTGGCTACACCTGCTTCAGTGCATCTGGAGCCCTCACTGGCGGGTGCCTGACACCTTGGCCTTGTTTTCTAACGGAGGGGCGCTTCTTAGTGTGTTTGTGGTCTCCCTCGCTCCACACCCTCCAGGGGGCCGCATGCGCACTCGTCCTGCATTGCCTGGCCCCCCGAGGTTCCAGGGTCTCTAAACAGCTTCCCGAGGACTACGGGGTGAGGGTGAGGTCACATCTACAACCGGAGCCAGCGCTTCCCTGCCTCCACCCCTTTTCGTGGAATCCCGCTGCTTAGCTCTACCTGTGGGTGTCATCGGCCCCGCCCCATTTCCCCATGCTTTAAGGTGGGTGAGTCTCCACAGACCTCCCAGGGGGATAGACAGCGCTGGTGTGACCTGCACCCCCAGTGAGGGCTCTGGAGCCGCGGTGCGTGAAGCTGGGACCCGGGTTCGAATCCTGCCCCTCTGGTGTGGTGCGGCCTTTTCCCATAGACTTTTGGCCTCAGTGTTCCCCGCCTGGGAAGTGGGGACTGGCCCTGGCTCCTGGCTCCTGGCTCCAGAGCCGCACCCAGAGGCGATCAGCCCGGCGCCGGAATGGGGTCGTGTGGCTGCAACTCCAGGCCACGGATCCTGACCCGCCCTGCCCACATCCTCATCCTGCTGTTGCTCCTCGCCTTCTCCGCCCAGGGGACCCGGATACTGCAGCCAGGTGAGAAACCTCGGTGGCAGCAGGGACGGGGCGGGAAGGAGACCGTAAAGGGCGCGCGCCCCCTCCCGGCCGCGGAACGGCCGGGTGATCTGTAAGCGCTCCCCGCTGGTCTTGGAGTGCTTGGGTGCCCACCTCCATCACGCCCCATTTCTCAATTCGGTTTGAACCCGGTTTTCTCCCACGCTCCCTCTCCAGGCGAGGCCAGCACCAGGTCCCCCAGCACCGCGGGCACGTCTGTTACCTGGGCGTATGCCGGACCCACCGCCTGGCGGAGATCATACAATGGATTCGCTCTGCCTCCACCAAAGAGCCCTCAGGGAAGGCCAGCCTCGAGCCCCAGGACCCCTACAGCTATGGGCGCCGCCGGTGGCGCGAGGCGGAAGCCCGGCTCGGTTCCCAGGACTCCGGCCTGCAGCGAGGGGGCCAGCGCAGTGCCCAGCTCGCTGGGTGACCTCCGGCACGGCTCGTCCCCTCCTCGGCTTCAGTTTGCCTATCCGTATATTGGAGCTTCTACCCCACGTGTCTTCTCCCCTAACTCCAGCCCCTGAAACCGCCTTCCCCAGTCCCTCCCCGGGCTGTGACTAGGTTGGACCCAGGAGCACAAGGGACCAGGCTGGAGGAAGAACACTGACGCCCAAAGCCGAATAAACGCGAGTTCCGTGTTTCAGTCTCTGCTTCCCTGTACCTATTTCGACCTCTCAGTCGGGGCTGGGTCTCTAATACACCCTTCTCCGTTATTCATGCTGCTTCTCCCTCACGGAAGTCCCACTGTCTACCTTGAATCCAACCCGCTGCAGCGCCTCCTTCTTGCCAACTCAATCCATGCACCTTCCGTGGGTGGTTTTGGTGGGCCCTCCTTACCGCCAAACATCCCTCCTCCCTCCCTGGCGTGAAAGGGCTGAGATTTGCTCCGGCACGCTACGCGCCTGACGTTACAATGCACTTAGGGGTGGGCTGTGGCCTCCCAGCTGAGCCTTGTTCCTCGAAGAGACAGGAGATTAAGAGACAATGCGCCGAGTGAGGAGCCCAGAAACCCGAGTTCCCAACAGCTGCGCAGAATGCGAGCGGCCAAATGGTGGAGAATCTGGCCGGGTAAAAGGAGACAGAGGACTGGGGATCGAACGGATGGAGGGGATTGGACGCCGTGGCTCTAAGGGGGCGGGGATAGAACGCGGGGATTGGAAGGAGGCGGGGATAAAACCCGGGACCTGAATACCCGGCTAGGGACACTAGAGACAGGAATCGGGGTTTCTGGGTGACGGTGATCTGGGAGTGGGCAGGACTCCAAAGGCCCGTCGACCCGGTGGTGGACTCCTTGCACTGGGATTGGACATACGCAAGCGGGAGATTTGGGGCCGGCGCTCAAAATCCGGGGGCGGGGGTGGACTCGGGTTTGGACCCCAGGATCCGATCAGCGGACCCCTGATTCAACGTGGTAAGTATTGGACCCCAGGGGCTCGGCCTCCTGAGGGGGCTGGAGTCCTGCGTCTAGGGTTGGGCGTGCAAGCCTCTCCATCACTTGTCCTCGACGCTCGCCTCCGCTCACAGTCTCAGCATCCCAGGCTGCGAGGCATGCGCAGTGGGTGCTTCCTTCCCCATCCTCTCCAGCCCGGGCAGGGGGAGGGGACGCTGGGCCACCTCAGGGCAGATGAATTTATAGACACCACCCCCCTTGCCTTGGCATGAGAAGCGGAAATGGGGTGGACAGCGCCAATATCTAATAGGTGTTTGTTTCATATGGGTCTAAAACTAATGTTTTTCTCAAGACCCCGCAACTCAGCCTGGACCAGTTTCCCTCCTCCACCTACCCCCGAATCTTCAGAGTCCTGTATTAGGGGGGAGGGCACTGCCCCCGCACCATGTTCTTGGCAGAGCAGGTAAAGGGGTTAACGCGAGCTATCCCTCTGGCCTCTCTACGCGTTCCCAGAGGCCCCGAATTGACGTCCTTCCCTCAAAACCTCCGGGTCTACAAACCAGGACCCGCAAGACCCCTCAGGTGCTTAGAGAAGGATGAGCTAGTCCTGGGTCAGCGCAAAGAGGCAGCTGGAGGCGTGGGATCCCTGGTCTGAGGGAGGAGGGGCTGGGGCCTGGGCTTCTGGGTCTGAGAGAGGAGGGGCTTGGGGCCTGGACTCCTGGATCTGAGGGAGGAAGGGCTGGGCCTGGACTCCTGGATCTGAGGGAGGAGGGACTGGGGCCTGCACTCCTGGGTATGAAGGAGGAGGGGCTGGGAGCCTGGACTCCTGAGTCTGAGGGAGGAGGGGCTGGGGCCCTGAAGAGTGACTCTGCCCGACTCCCAGGACTCCAGCGTGACATGGCTGAAGCGCACCAGGCCGTGGGCTTCCGAACCTCGCTGACCTCGGACGGGGCTGAAGTGGAACTCAGTGCCCCTGTGCTGCAGGAGATCTACCTCTCTGGCCTGCGCTCCTGGAAAAGGCATCTCTCACGTTTCTGGGTGAGGAGTGCTGCTGGTTGGTTTCCTTCCGGGGATCCAGGATTCTGTTTCCTGGATGTCTGAGGCTCACTTCCGGCATTTCAGTTGGTCCGTTTCTGGGAGCTTATCACCACTTTTTCCGGGAATTTCGATGTCTGCTCCCGGGACCCCTTTAGTTATTTCTCCCTGGCTCACTTCCGGGATCCACAGCCTCACCTGCTGTGAACTTCTGTTCACTTCTTTCACCCAAGAGGGGAACTGGGCCCCCCAAAAACTACCCACTTTCAGTTACTAGAACTCCATATCCTTACCTTATGGTGAAATTCTCATTTCTCCCTTTCATCTCAAGCTTCTTTTGTTGTTGTTGTTGTTGTTGTTTTTGAGACAGAGTCTCACTCTGGTTCGACCAGGCTGGAGGCAGTGGGCACGGAATCTGGCTCTGGCAACCTCGGCCGTCCTGGTGTCAAACAGGTTCCCTGCTCAGGCCTCACGTAGCTGGGATGTCAGGGCACACCACCACCACGCCCAGGCTGAATTTTTTGGTATTTTTTAGTAGGAGATGGGGTTTCACGATGGTTGCAGGGCAGGTTTGACTCGCCGGCCGGGTGGATCCACCCACCTCGGCCTCCGAAGAGTTGTTGGCAGGCTGTCTTGAACTCGGCTGGGCTCAGGCGATTCGCGCGCTGCCTTGGCGTCGCAAAGTGCCTGGGACTTACAAGGTGTGAGCCACGTTGTGCCCAGCTGTGTTTTCTTCTGAACAGGAAGGTCTCACTGTGTACGCAGCTGGCAGTGCAGTGGCACATATCGTCCTCCCAGTCACTGAAGCCTCCACCTCCTGGATTCAAGCGATTTTCCTGCCTCAGCCTCCTGAGTAGCTGGGACTACAGGTGTGCACCGTGATGCCGGCTAATTTTTGTGTTTTTAGTAGAGACAGAGTTTCACCATGTTGGCCAGGCTGATCTCGAACTCCTGACCTCAGTGATCTGCCTCCCAAAGTGCTGGGATTATAGGCATGAGCCACTGCACCTGGCCCAAACTCCTGCCCTTTGTCCCTGTTCTAGAATGCCCATGCCCAATGTGTAACCAGCATCCATGTCTGTCCCAGAGTTCCTGGTTCTAGAACTCTTGCACTGTCTCCATACAGGGCCTCCCCCTCGTCACATCCCCTGTGTGTGAACTGGGGTCTTGAACACCTGTGGGGTCAGGACTGAGTTTGAATCCTGACTCCACGGCTTAGTAGCTGTGTCATCTTGGGCAAGCACCTCTCTTGGAGTTGCAGTTTCCCTTCGTGGAAAACATTGGTGTTGACAGCACCTCCCTCACAGGATAGCCTTTTTTTTTTGGAAACAGAGTCTCGCTCTGTCGCCCAGGCTGGAGTGCAGTGGCGTGATCTCCAGTTGTTGTTTTTGAGACAGAGTCTCACTCTGTCACCCAGGCTGGAGTGCAGTGGCACAATCTTGGCTCACTGCAACCTCCGCCTCCTGGGTTCAAACAGTTCCCTGCCTCAGCCTCACCAGAAACCCGAGTTCCCAACAGCTGCGCAGAATGC